ATGCTTTCTTTATCTTGTTTTTTGATTTTTTAAATATTGATTATTGATTGCGAAATTGATTGTAAATTGAATTTATATTAATAACGTTTTTTTGATGTATAATACAAAAAAATATCATGAAAATGGGTTAATTGTATAGATCTATATGTAAAAGATAAAGAAAATGTGGTTCAAAATAAATATTAATAAATTGTTAACACATTTAAGAATATTGTGATTGAATAAAAATTTAATCGATAGAGGTAGATTTCATATAATTATAATTTTTATTGAAAGTTATAATTAAAATAAAAAAATTTTATTAAATTATATTTTATCAGCATAAATTTTATTTTAAAAAATCAAGATGTAATAATATGAAAAAGAAAAAAAATGATTTATGAATATATTAACTCAGAAAAGAACGTAAAATGATTTTTATAAATACAGGACTTTCCTCTCTCTTAAGAAATATTTTCTTAAGGCATTTTACACTGTAACATTCACACTTAGGATGATTCATTTTAAATAATCTATTTTTATTTTGTCAAATATATTGATTTTATGAAAAAAATTCTAAATAAAAGTTTCTGAACTTCAAAGGAAGCATAAGCTGATACCATTAGTTTGACCTTCGACCTTTTGTAAATTAATTAATCAAATTAATTTACATTAATTATTCAAATATTTATGGTTCCTTTGAGAGTCACACATATGAAAATTTGTTCAGAGCTCACTAGCACATATTTAAATCGCCGTGAAAAATTAATGCTACGTTGAGACATACTCTTAGCTATTTTTAACATGATTCATCGATTGATGATGATAACTTTCATAGAATGTCAAATATTGAAATATAGATAAAGATATCATGAATTGATTTTAATTATCGTACGATTAATCAGTAATTAACTCATTGAACTAATTTGTATTATTTTATTAATGTAAATAAATTATTAATTTTTTATTAACATGGGAAAAAATTAGATTATAAATGTTCAAAAATTTAATGCTAAAAATGATTTTGTCGAATTAAATTAATCGTCAATCAAGTTAATCCGAGTTTAATCAAAGTTGTTTTTAAAATTATTCTCTTGAAAAGTTTAGAATTTTAAAAATAAAAGTTTAGAATTTTAAAATAATTAGAATAATTAGAATTTAAAAATAATTGCATTATATAATCACTTTAGAAATGTTACGATTTTTAGTAAAAAGCGAGAATAATCAGAAACTATATGTTCGAAATAATTTCGAAATAACGAATTAATTCTACGATCTCATTATTCACAGAGAATGCAATGAGAAGAGATTCTATATTGTTTAATTTGTCCATTTAGTAAGTACAGAATTTCGGGATTCGCAAGTTTGTATATCTCGTCAAATTTTCCTTCCACAATCGGAAACAAGCGATGCTATTGGATTTCATTTAGAAACATACAGAAATATCCAAATCGTTCGTGAATATCTTACCTCTTCACACATCAATGGTTATCTGGGCATAATTATAATTTAATGAGTAACAAAATAAATATACAGACGCACAATATATATTTGTTCGACGATTATTTGCACAATCGTATAAAATTTGTTGATATTAGCACCACTTGGGAACGGATGAAGTAATCATTGAAGGAAGATAAACTAAAATTATGCAAAATAATTTATGTATACATATATATTGCTACATACATATGTTATATGGAACAGGCCTTTTACTTGCGCCACTTCGGTTTTCTATGTGAATGGCGAAAGGTTCCGTTTTAAAGAACGGATGTGCACATCACCTTTGACACTAACAAGATACTAATTAAAGACAGCCTTGTATGGATTCACCTGTTAAAATTTAGACGATTAGCTCATGACATAATATATATTAATTTATTATTGTTTTGTTATTTCATAGATGTGTGTGCACACAATCCATACAAGTGATAATTACGAAAAACATGCAGTTTCACGATATATACATATAACATATAATATCATATATATTACATGTTTAGTTATTTATATAAATTATGAATTCAATAAGTTAATTTAGAGATATTCAGATATATCCATATTTATTCATATCAATAGCCATCTATATTTTTTGTCTTTAATAGCATCTTGTTAGTTACTTTGAATATTCTAGGACATATGTCTGCATACAATAATTGTTCAAAGATAAGATATATATAAGTTAATCTTAATACTGAAAGTCACACTTCACAGAATCCTCAGCGATAGTATTTCTATAATCTTGCACAGTTCTGTGTATTAATATCCGTACAAATATCCGTGTTAAAGAGAAAATGTACCGTGAATATATCTATAATGTAAGTAAACAAGTATAAATTAGAATTTTATGAAAATGAATTGCTTCTAAAAAAAAGAATTAAATTTTTCTGCAACATTTATAAATGTTGCCAGTATTTACTTACTATCTTTGTTAATTTTACGGATATAGTTAGAGTAATTGTGTACAATTAAAAAAATGTCAATGCTAAAATTTAAAATGCGTAAAAATTAAAAAAATTTTTCCTAATTATTAAATTTTAATTTATATTTGTTTACCAATACGCCTACATACATAACAATGCATTAATAGTTTACTGTCCTTCAAATTTTATTATATCCACCAATCATAAAACAGACGTGTCCAAGACCTTTCTATTTTTCGTTCTCTTTTTCTGTCTATTACACAAAAAGTCAAAAGATCGTGTGTGAGTATATACTCTTTGACGAGAATATTATTACATACGAAGTTATTACTGTAGTTATTACTTTCAGATGTTCTCGAAATCTTTTAACGAGTACATTCTCGGCAAAAATATTCTTAATAATATTATACCAATTATATTTTGTTTTTGCTATCTATGAAATTGCAGGTATCTCGAAGTTTACACTGAGATTTTCAGATTGAGCTAATTTGACAATAGTTGATAATTTCACTGCGACCCGGGCGGCCTCGTCGAGATCGTCGATTGGTACGATTTTTAATCCCGCGTTCGCGATCAAAGCCTTGGCTTCATCTACGTTAGTACCCTAGAAAGCAAAAATATCTTTGTGTAATTTCAATTTCAAAGATTGATCATAACTCATAAAGATTGATCATAATTATTTATAAAGCGCATTGAATGTCATACCTGCAATCTTACGACAACAGGAATTTTTAAACTTAATTCCTTAGTCGCGGCGATAATACCTTCCGCTATAACATCGCATCTCATTATACCACCAAAGATATTAACTAAAAGAGCGTGAACCTAATGAAAAAAAGGAATACATAAAATCAGAAAAATAGAAAATATCAATCATGACTTCATACACTTACGCGTGAATCAGAAGTGATAATTTTAAACGCTTCCTTCACCGCCGAAGTCGATGCACCACCACCCACGTCCAGAAAGTTAGCCGGTTCGCCACCATGTAACTTTATGATATCCATCGTAGCCATGGCTAAACCAGCTCCGTTTACCATGCAGCCTATATTACCATCGAGCGCGATATAATTTAAGTCAAATTTTGCAGCTTCAACTTCCTTAGGATCTTCCTGAGACCAATCTCTCAGGTTAAATAGTTCTTTTTGTCTGAACTCGGCGTTATCGTCAAATCGGCACTTACAGTCCAGAGCGAAATCTGCAAGATTATATGGAAGATTGTATTATTCGTGCGAATCAAGTACTTAAAAAATATTAAAGGAGGAAATATAGACTAACAATTCCCATTGATGTCCTCAGCGAGAGGATTCACTTCCAAAAGAAGAGCATCCTTCTTAAGAAACATTTGGTAAAGATTTATAATTATATTGGAAATGTAATCCTTTACGTTGTCGAGGCCGAGCTTGGTCACTATACGTTCCGCTTGTTCCTTCGTAATTCCCTTATTAATGTCAATAGGTTCGTACATGATAGCGGTAGGATTCGTAGCTGCGACTTCCTCGATGTTTACTCCACCTTGACTGGAAGCTATTATGACGGGACCCTGAAAGTGAAAAATATCTGTTAAAAATCTTTCTTTTATTCGCACTCTTCGTTATTTGTCATAATTTTGAAAACATACACCAAAGGCTCTTTCCATCATAACAGCAAGGTAGTATTCTTTACGGGGAAACATGCGCTGTGTGACCATCACGGCGTTGCATATCCTGCCACCTTCGCCAGTCTGTTTCGTGATCAACAGTTTGCCGAGCATTTGACCCGCCAATGATTTGGCCTCTTCCGGACTACAAGCAACAAGTGCTACAATATTTCCTGACATATTTAAAATATCACGTCACATGTAATGCTTAATTACGTTTCACACATCTTCACTCCGCTGATATTCGTTCCTTTAAAATGTCCCTTTCCTCTGCCGCCAGCGAGGACCTGAGCCTTCAGGACGATGTCCTTCGTCTTCAAGTCGGCAGCGAGTCTGGCCGCCTCATCGGGGGTCTTGGCGACGCCGAATTTCGGCGTGGGCACGCCGGCTTCATTGAGTAAACTGTAGCTAATGTGTTCATGTACGTTCAAATTTCTAGTTGGCTGTTTTACCAAGTTGGTTTTACATGCCAATATCTGAAAAAGGAACGTGACATAAGAAATCTAGCGATAAAATTCCGCGCGTGTTTAGGATTACGCACAAACGGCATTCCCAACTCTAGCATCATTACATTGATAAACGTGCCAAAGTTTACATTATGTACATTGATCAGGATAAAGAAAGAAATAGAGATAAAAGTTATTAACACAGCGTATTGACATCTCAAGATGAGATAAGATGGGCAGCAGGTTAAGGTAAAGTATATGCAAATTGGTCTGTCATTATAAATCATGTAACGGTTAAAAATAAATCTATACTTGAAGGCCGACAATGTGCTGCGTTGCGCTGTGATGAGTATGTGCACATCCTGCAATATAATTCGCATGCGTCTTGGCAGTGATGCTTCGTACGCAGAAAAGCAAATTGTGTAATAGAGTTTTGAATGCGACGGGTTCCTTTACGAACCCCTGTATACCCCTGTATACCCCGATAATCTTCGTAACGTAAAAATAACTTTAACGTAAAAACGTAAGATAAAACAAAATAAAAAGCAACGCTCAATTAAACTTTATTTCCTGCAGTTTTTTATTTGATTTACGGAGAGAATTCGTCGGGAACGAAACTCAAAGAAATTCCGTTCCGATTGATTTTTTTTTTTTTTTTTAATCAAAAGCATCACATCAGTGCGTTTGACAAGTGGAGCACGTGCGCCAAGGCCGTGCTTCGTTACTGAAAATAAATCGACGAGTCCGCACATTCCGGTGTGAGGAGGAAAAGAAATGCAGATCGATCGAACGTGAGTTCGCGCGCGCGTGAAATATCGGACATCGGCGTTCCTCCGTTCGATTCGATTCGCATCGCCGTCGCTTCGTGCTCGCGTTCGAATTCGTTCGAACGGAAAGAGGACGATCGTTTGACAAGTGTCTCCCCTCGCTCGCGATAGAAGCGATTCAATTGAAACGCGGGGGCGACGGCACGCCCGTCGATGGGAGCATCAAGAGGACGAGACGCGGAATGATCCCCCGGTCGATTGCGTAACTGTCATGTCGATCTTCCGTGGGAAAATCACCGAGATGAGATCCTCGGCTTCAAATCGCTCGCGACCCTGGCGCTCGATTTAGCAGACAACAGCTGTCCAATATGGCGATCGGCGACTTTCTCTGTCTCGCTTGTACTTCCTCTTTTTCTCTTTCCTTCTCTTGGCCACAATCCGTCAGTTTCGGGATACTCCGCGCCGTCGTTTGAACGTGCCGGACCCCGTATGAATTAACGAAAAAACCCGGTGACTTGACGTACCTTGGGGCCATTCAATCGGCCGAGATTCTCCGCGAGTGTGATCGCCCGCGACAACATGGTAGCCATCTTTGCCTGAGCGACGGCCGTGGACTGCCAGGCGCGAGCTTCGCCCTCGTGGCCCCCACCCAACTTGACGTTTCCCACGCGCACGCATGACGTAGAGCCTCTCACGCGGAATTCACGCAGTTTCGCAGGGCCGCGTGCGTGACTCTGAATCCTAATGACGACGTGACCTCACTCCGACAAAACACTTAATTAGCGATTAACTTATTGAAGATTTCTTATAACTAGTAGATAAACTTTTTATGTTTTTTATCCCATTATTCTTTCTTTCTAATTATGTAATTATCTTGTTTTGAAACGTATAATGCAAAAATAACTACAAAGAACAACTTCAAACGATGTCAACTTCTGTCGCTTAATATTTAGAAAAAGACTAAATAGAATAATTAAAAATTTTGCTTTAAAGGAATAATTTTTTTAACCTTCTTAAAATTACTACTCTATAATATTTTTGGAAATTATAAAGCGCGTGTATTAGTATGCCGTTTTGTTATTGTTTACATGTAATAAAAAAAATGCATATGATTTTTATATAAAGATATATTTCATTGGTCGTACAAATGTAAAATATTTTGTAAATTCTTCTGAAGTGATGTCAGTTTTTTACTTTCTCGGAAACCTTCTCTACTCTCTATTTGGGACTGAAAGTGAGGTCCAAATTTGAAGACTCTGCGATACTCATCATTAATGCTAATTTGACAGATGTTTCGGCCGCTTCAGCAAAATCGTCTACGGAAATTACCTTCAGCTTAGCATCTAGTATTAATTGTTTAGCTTTAGCCACATTGGTACCCTGTAAAAAAACATGAATTATTAGAAAGAGAGAAAAAATAAATTACAAGATGCGACTCTTCAAGATAATTACTTGTAATCGCGTTATTATGGGCACCTTCAAATCTAATTCCTTAAAAGCATCTATGATCCCTTGAGCGATTATGTCGCATCTCATTATGCCGCCAAAGATATTCACCAAAATAGCTTGCACCTGAAAGACCATTGATATATGAATCGCATTTTAATTCTATCGATAATTTTATATTACAATAATTACATTCGGATCCGAAGATAATATCTTGAAGCCTTCTCTCACGGTCTCGACTGTGGCAGTACCGCCGACGTCCAAAAAATTTGCCGGTATACCGCCATAAAGCTTTATGATGTCCATGGTGGCCATTGCTAGACCAGCACCATTTACCATGCAACCGATATTCCCTTCGAGAGTTATGTAGTTCAAATCGTACTTTTCTGCCTCGACTTCCTTCGGGTCCATCTGGGTCGTGTCCTTGAGCGCGAACAATTCCTTTTGTCGGAAATGGGCGCTGTCATCGAATTTACATTTGCAATCCAGAGCGTAATCTGCAGCAGTGAGACGCAGCAACGGTTTTATTATTATGAGACTACCCACGCGCTTTTTGTTTCTCATATCTTATCTCGTTCGTTGCAGCTTACATTCGCCACAAATGTCTTCCGCGAACGGATTAATTTCGAGCAGCAGCGCATCCTTCTCAATGAATAAGTCGTAGAGATTACTTGCGACGAGCGACGCGATCTCCTTGCTGTGTCCCGTGAGTCCCAGTTTATCGGCAACGCTGTTCGCCTGCGCGGTCGTTAAACCTTTGCTTACATTGATCGGTATACACACCACAGCTTCGGGATTTGCAGCGGCAACATCCTCGATATTTACCCCGCCTTGCTTGGAAACGATTATCACAGGTCCCTTGAACGACGGCGAATCAGAACGAATTGTTCCTGATGAAAGATTGACAGGGGCAACTTTTTCGTACTCACGTCGAAGGCACGTTCCAACATCACCGCCATGTAATACTCTTTACGCGGAAACATGCGTGCTGTCACCATCACCGAATTACAAATCTTTCCAGCCGGACCGGTTTGTTTGGTCACGAGCACCTTACCGATCATACTGTTCGCCAATTCCTTCACTTCCTCGGCTCTATGATGAAAAAAGATGATTGTCTTTCGCTTCTTCTTACTGTAAATTAATTTTGTCACACTCACGTATCACACATTATGACGCCGCTGACATTGCTATCCTTAAAGTGTCCCTTTGCTCTACCTCCAGCCAGAACTTGCGCTTTCAATACGAGATCCTTCGTCTTCAGATTCTTAGCCAAATTAGCGGCTTCGTCGGGTGTTTTCGCCACCCAGAAAGGTGGAGTAGGAATGCCGGCTTCTTTCAATAAAGTATACGCAATGTGCTCATGCACTTCTAAATTTCGCACTAATTGTTTAACGATCGGAACTTGGTGCGTTAACAACTGTGAAAGCAAAGCATTTTATGAAAATGTGTACGCGGAGATTTATAACTCATGTAGATAATTAATTTAAATTCTAACTTTAATAGAGAGAGAGAGAGAGAGAGAGAGAGAGTAGTAGTCTTACCTTTAATAATAAATA